TGGCAAAAAGTAAAAAAATTAAAGTCTTATCGCTATCAAGATTGATATACTGCATTCCATACTAAAAACAAAACGAAATAATAATAATAAATGGAAAAGCTCAACGCTCATTTCAAAAATTAATTCTTTAAAATTCTCAAAAATATTTTAAGAGTACCAAAACAAGAGAGAGAAAGAGAGAGAGAGAGCTCAGTTTGCTGAGYTAGCTCTGATTGTCCATTTGGCTTTTGTTGGCGCTGGGCGTTTTGGTCGTTAGCACTGCATTTGCGGTTGCTGCGCTGTGTGCTGCTGTGTCGTTTCCGGTGCTTCCGTTTCCCCATGTGCAAATATGCAAAATGGCGACAATTTGTTACGCCATAATCAAGTCAAAACATGCGAAAGCGACGCCGCGCTGACAATTTATCAGCTGAGCTGAGATGCTGGACCACAGCGACTCGCATCAAAATGATACGAAATGCAAACAGAAAGACAGAGAGTGAGAGAGAGAGAAAGTGAGAGAAAGAGAGAGGGAAAGAGCAGTTGCCAATATGGCGACATTTCCGCCTCAGTCCAAAAACAACGCGCTGACATAATGAAACTTTACAGGATAATTGGATGATTCCGCGTGACTTTTTTTGTCGTCTGTTTTTCAGTTTTCATCAGTCTCTGTGTGGCTCGTCTGGTTTTTCAGTGCGTTCTCTTCGCTCGTGATAAATCAAAAGCACGTTGATGCCTTTGTCAGCTCCGCTCGTCTCCCGGCGACTGACATTGAGAAATGCTTGAGAATGAAGCTGCATAACCGAACATGAACACTTATTTGCATTAAAGACTTTTTCTCTCACTGCGGCAGGCGAATGGCGATATTCTCTACGTCTCACACGTACACACGGACTTTTATTAGATTCGGCCATGCTTACAATGTCATATACCCGGGCTCTGCGCTCCGTGATTTATCGTCTCGTCTCGCCGATACTGTATTTATGCTAAGTCCACAAATCACCCCATGAAATATAACCGAAAACTGCAAAAGCATTAAGTCCAATAGTCTCTAGTGTATTAGAATTACTACAGCAATTTTGCATGGTGGCCGTTAGGCATGTTATTAGTTCGTTCCGGCCAGATTGAATGATATTCAAATGAGACAAGCTTAAGTACGAAGGCTAAGCTTACGGAAATGATATGTAAACCAGAAGAAATCTATACTTAATTGTAGTTTTGTTTAATGTTGAGTAGAATACCATAAAAATTAATGTCTAATAATTTGATATGTAAATACATATACATATAT